ACAGGCGCAATGCATGGGTCCGGCGGCATCGGCCGGGGTGGAATCTCCCAGGGGACCTCGTTGGGTTATAGCGAAAACCCTGGGTGATCCTTGGGTTTGCCCGCCCCCTGCCCCCCTGGTCGCTGCGTTTGCCCCGATTTACTTCGCCCTGTGGTTATGATGCCAAGCCGGGTTCCTTCTTTAACGGGCCTGCCCCGTTCTCCTCCTCCTTGACAGCCTCGTCCAAGATGATATCGTTGGAATTGCTTTGTGCGCGTCTACGTTAAAGAGTGGGACTAGATGGATGTAATCCGCCTGGGCCAGACGCGGTTGAGGGCCCCACTGGGTCAGGTGGAACAGGCTTGCAAGGTCTGAACAGGCTGCCCTCGGGCTGGGTCTCTCTCTACCCCCATCGTGCTCTTTGCGGCAAATTACTTCACCGGCCCCCCCTGGCCCTCGGCGGCCCTGTTCAGCGCGGCCAGCTGCTGAATCACCTCCTCGAGCGCCCAATAAAACTGCGCGGTTGATCTCTACTTGCTCAAAGGACGGCCGACCTCGTTAATCATCGCCACCCAATGCTCGCCGTTGGATCGGACTTCCCGCGACTTTGCCCCGCGCGCTCGACATCCCTGGCGGTTTCCCCTTCCTAAGCAGCTCGCGTCGCTGCCCCTGCGCCTCGTCGCTAATCTCTCTGAGCTTCCCGTTGATTTCGATTGCCGCCGCGTTGCGGTCCATCGCGCCGTTGGCCACCTCTTTCAGGGTCGCGAACTGGCCCGCGTCGCCGCTCGCCGCGCGACCCGCGGCTTCCGCGGAGTCGCGCGACAGCCTGGCCATGGGCGCGCCCATCGGGGGCCCTGGCCCCACCGAGACACATGCCCAGCCAGACGGCGTCGCGAACCAGGCTGCGAAGATTCGGGACGTGCTCCATCATGCCCTCGACGTCGTCCACACTATCCTTGTTTAGTGGCCCTGAGTCGCCGAAGTCGATATCCTGTCAATTCGCGATTCAGCTCATGATCGGCGAGGGAGCAGGCTTCGCGAGGCCACTTCCAGCCAGGATGCACGGGTCGAGTGATTCGCGGAATTGGCACGAATTTGAAGAGGGCGAAGCCTTTCGGAAATTCGGAGATCTGCACCTGCCCAACGTCGTCATATCACCTGCTCGCGCAGGTCCGCTCAGCGGCCGTCCTTGGCGCAGGCAGCCAGCAGTCGCGTTCAGTGCGTCATGCTGGCCGGGGTCTCACGTCCCCGCGCTGCCAGTGCTCGGCTGTCTGGCCACTGAGGGGTCAGGACAGTCTGGCCGCTCAATGGCCGTTCTCGGCGAGACTGCCAACGGTCGCGTTCAGCGCGCCATTGCTGGCCCGGGGTGCCACGCCCCCGCGCAGCCAGCGCGCGATCGACAGGCCGCTCAGGGGGCTCAAAAATTTGGGCCGCTCAATGGCCGTATCTGGCGCGGGCGACCATCGGCGCATCAAGTGCGTTCGTCGGTCGGGGGGTCACGCCCCCGCGCTGCCAGTGGATCTACATAACATGTTGGCCTGTCAGTGGCGTCTGTCGGGCGCCCGCAGGCGTGGTCGTCTCTGCAGGGATGAGACGAGCCATGGGCGAGGGATGCTCGCTGCGCGCGCCCGCCTGTGACAGGACTGTCGTCGCGTTCCGCTCGCCGTTTCTTCCACAGCCGCGTCGCGCCACGCAGATAGCGCGCCCGCAACTACAATTCCCGGATCAAGCGCGCGAGCCAGTCAGCGCCCGCGCTGCTGCAGGCTTAGTTTTGATTGGACTCCATGGCAACTTCGGCGGCAGATCTGCGCCAAGAGATCCTGGAAGCGGATGCCAAGTATTCGTCCTCAGACGGGCTCCGCGTGAATCTCCAAGTGCTACGCGACTTGGGCGCCCTTCCCGGTTTCCTGCGCTGGTGGGAGTTCGGCAGGCCTCTGAGTTTCTCGAAACCAGCCCCCGCCCGCCATTTCTCCAACTATACGTCCTTGACTGACAGCGTCGCGTTCGCTGAGCACGAATGGGATCGCTTAGAACGCCTCGGGACAGATCGCTGCTCCCCTCGGGATTCGGCCCCTGCAGGTCTGCTCGCGAACCCTTGCGGTCTTGTCCTTGCAGAGCGGGACAACACATTTCTGATTGCTTCTTCGACGGGTTCACATCAACTCATCGCGGGCTTCCCTCGCAGCTGGGTCAATGATCCCGTCCAAGACGCCCCAGTTCAGCGCGGTGCAATCGATTTTGCTTTATCCAGAATATGTCCTGCCAGCTGGCTTTTTGCGCTGGACCTTGCTGACGCTTTCTTCAGTTGGAAGGCCCGCGAAGACGACGCACTCAGAAATTGGGTTTTGGCCCCCCTGGCGTCGACAGCACGGACAATACTTGCATGTGCCCGCGGGCCTCAGACCAGCCCCAGGGATTCATGACCAAAACACAGAAGGAAATACTGCGCACGCTGTTAGTGCACGAAGCCATATGCCTCACAGATTTCGCGGGCGATCTTCTGGGCAGCGGATCGCCCAGGGAAGACGCCGGTGCCAAACTAATAGCATCAGTGCGCTTCTTCCTGCGCGTCGGAATTCTGGCCAGCGGCAAGCCATCCGGCTCGCGGGAGCCATCGCAAAGACAGACTTGGGTAGGCTGGATATTCGACACGTCTCGCAACGAGCATTCGGTCGAAAAGAAGAAGTGCGACTTGTGCGCCAGGCTGCTCCGGGCCGTCTTACAAGAAAACGCCACTGGAAAGCTCCGGGCGCGCTTTTCGGCCTCGGCCGCGGGGCTTGCGTCGCACATCTGCGAGATATTTCTCCATGGCCGCCGGCGTCTTCACCGCATTTGGTCTCTTCTGAATTCGTCGAATGTCTATGCCACCTGGGCCAGCAGCCCCACGGCGGACCCCCTTCCGCAGTTAACGCCCGACTGCTTAGTCCACGTTCAATGGTGGGTCAAGGCGTTGGACGTACTTCCCGCCTGGCCTTTGCACTCAGCAGCCGGCTCTTTGTCGAGGTGAGGGCCCAAGTCGAAGGATTTTGTAAGTTGGCGCGCTCTGGCTGCACCCAGGGTTGTCCGTGTAGTTGAGACGGGCGCGGCCGGGCTCCCCGGGCGGTCTTACCACCTCTGCGGCGCGGGCATTGTCCTCGCCAGTGCATGGCCAGAAGAACGCAGTCTGCTCGCGGAGAATTCAGACACAATCAGCTACGAAGAACTCTGAGTCGCTAAGAAAATTGTTCTACAGGACAGCGAGTGGCTTCGAGGGTGGAGCGCCAATTTCAGCGACAATTCAGCTGCAGTTCACTACGTCAAATTCAAATTCGGTCGCGTTCCTTCCCTGCAGGATCTCACAATGGCCTTCGAACTGGCAGAACGGAAAGCAGGATGCTGGCGCATGGCTGTATATCTGCCTGGAAAACATAATGTTGCCAGCGGCGGAGAGTCGCGGGATTCCGTGTTTGCCACCCGGTGGAACGACGATCTCTATCGCGACGCTGTCCCGAAGCATTCTGCAATGAAGGACATCACCCAGAAATTCTGCCCTTTAGACGTCGATCTGTTCGCAGGCCGCGCAGGCATTGGCGCCCAAGCAGCTGCCTGGTTCTTCCCTGAACAAGCTGTCTTCGAAAAAAACAATTTTACCACTCACAAAGCCCGGGCCCGCCCGCCGCGCGGTTTAGCTGCTCGCGCTCTGCCGTGGCTGGAGCCCCTGTGCTCATCGCAAAAATGGTTGGAGGCAAGGTCTTGCCAGACGACGCTGCGACCGCGCGGCGACACGCAGCGCGGCGCGGCGCGCGGGCGCCGTGGTACGGAGCTCCTGAGGCAGAGACAGCACTTCTTGGTTGCGGTGTATACAATTCGTTCCTCTTTGCAACCGAAGCGATCTACACAACCACCGCGCGTGTTTTGATGAACTCTGTGTCAGTCCTTGAGAGAAGGGGCAGCCCAGTTGCCGTTGGCGGCGGGAGGGGGGCTGCGGGTGTTCCACCAGAACAGAACTTCACCAAATCGGATTGTAAATGTTTCCCAATATTGGTGGTGGTGGTGGTCATATATTGTGTTCGGAACTCCTCCTCCTCCTCCTCCTCCTCCTCGTCCTCCTGTTCCTCCTTTTCCTCCTCCTCCCACTCTCACAGACCCCATCCAAGGGATGGTGCCGTGCCACAAGGCATTGCCACGATCAGTGGCGTCCCTGGCGGCGATGGCTGTGTCAGAAACCGATGAGCCTCCCTTGGACGGACCCAAGCGCACGGGGGCGTGACCAGTGGCGCTACTTGGCCAGACAATCGTGAACTTGACGGACTCCAGCACCACCATCGTGAGCAGCACGACGGACTCCATCGGCATGGCCTTGAGCGGCATGACGCACTTCAGCAGCACCGTCGTGAACAGCACGGCAGACATCAACTGCAAGACCGTGAGCATAATAACCGGCTCCAGCAACACCATCGTGACGGCCTCGGCGCGATCGTGAACTCAGACGACGAGATCTGCGGCGTGGAGGGCGGGAGCCAGGAGGGCGTGAACGACAGGCTGGAGGACGGGATCGAGGATGAGGTGGAGGGCGTGATGGAGGACGTAGCAGAAGGCGTGGACGGCGACCAAGTCGTAGTCACCCTGGTTGTGCGCGGTAAGACGTTTAAGTCCGAAGCTGGCAAGGTTGTACTCTATTCATTTCTGTCGTGAGGTTGGCCTTGCCATACCCACTCTCATTATCATAACCTCGCCCCGCTACCATGCTAAGTTAGCAGAACGATCGTAATGAAGACGGGGCATTGTTTTGCAGTAAGCGGTCAATGCCACAGTACAAAGGTGTTTCACACCGTCTGATGGCGGATCACAATTACTTGGGCCATACGCCAGCAATAACCTGGGCCCTATACCGAAACACTTTTTCCCTCCTCCTCCTCCTCCTGGCCCAATTTCTCCCTCCTCCTCCTCCTCCTGCCCCCCCCTCCTGCCTCTCCGACTGGTGCTGTGGGATCCAACCCGCGCTCGGCCAACCAAGCCGCTAACCCCCCCCCCGCACAACGTTTCTGTTACCGATTCGTGCTTCGAGCCGATCCGCAGAGTGGAGCCTCGAGGAGTCCGCCAGGCTAAGGGCGACCGTCGGCCTCTCTCTGGCTCTGGCCAGCCACATCTGGGGGAGCTGCGTAGCTTTCGTTGGGGAGCTTCCAGTTAGCGGTGTCGCGGCGGCGGCCCATGCGACACGCGACGCCTTGGAAGCTGGTGGTATGCTGCTCTGCTTCGTGGGACGGGAGGTTGGACAAAAACCGGGGACGTTGAATGCGCGTCGCGCCGAAACGTGGTGGACCGGAACCGGCGGCGCAACATGTCAAGCATAAGTTCCTCCCTGGGGGAAACCAATCGTATCGACGATCTCTCGAGAGGAGTCGAGACAGATGGGGCCCCCAGTGGAGGCCGCACAAACGGTGCCAGAGTAAATGAGGCAGGAGGATCGCACCACATCTTGGGATGGAGAAAATTGGGCTCCTGATCGGTAGCGTCGGGACGATGCAGTGCCATCCTCCGACCCCGTCCGCTCCGACCAAAATTGGGGCCTAGACCCACGGAGGCTCAGGCCACCAGGCTCCCCCAGCCGTGGCCAGTCCTGGCAGGTAATCAGCGACAGCACAGCGGCCGCAGAGACTGTCGGACGCCGGCGGGCGGCTTCTCCGACGGGCCCCCTTGCGCCCGCACCCCTCGTGTGTTGCCAGGTGTGCCCCTGGCCCGGGGCAGCAGGGGCCACCATCGGATTCGGAAGCTGGATCGAAATTGGAGGCCCGTCGAATCTTTCGAAGTCGGGGCCAAAAAGGCAATCGCCACGTCAGCTCGGACGTCGGAACCGGGAGCTCGAATCGGAATCGAAATCGGGGCCACTCCGGGCCCCTTGTGGGGGCCTCCCTGAAAATCCTGGCGGGCGCCTTGGGCCAGGGGCCGGGGGCATCTCTGACAACACACAATTCAAGGTCGGTGCCCCTGGGAGGAGCGGCGGGGGAGTGCGGGGACAGGGTCCAGAGGATTCGACCGCGGGCGTCCGAAAGTTTGTGTTCGTGGTGCCTGGCTCCCTGGCGGTCGTGGTACCTGCACATCGCCGTGAAACTGCGTGGCTGCGCACGCGAGCAGCAAGAAAACACAAGAATCCGACGCACCACTCTGGCCTCTCCAGCTGCTGCTGTGTCTTCCTCGTTTATCTTCCGTCTCCTCCCTCTACATGCTCGCTCTCCGTCCACCTGCGACCTCCTACTCCCTCCTCCTGCTCGTCCTCCTCCTCCTCCTGCCTCCTACCTCTCCTTCTTCTGTTTATTTGTTTCTTTCTTCCACTTTCTACCTCCTCCTTCTCCTCTTCCTCATCATCCTCCCCTCCCTCCTCCACCGCCCCTCATATTCCTCCTACCTTCAACATCTTCACTACTAACCCGACAGTAATGTGTGTGTGACCATTCTGCCACCGTGTGTATGTGAATCGAGGTGGACTGGCGGACCCCATCATCAGGCGATGTTGCGTCGAGGCAGAATGTGTCTGAGCGCAAAAACCGCTTGCGTCGAAGTAGAGCGGCGCGGAGTGAGTTTCTGTGGACGTGGAGTATGTCATTTCTGCAGCAAGGCCAGGCGGGGTGAGTTCACCCCCGACGGCAGAGTAAGTCTTCCCGTGCGAAAAAAATGCGCGGAGTAAGTTTTACATCGTAGTGGACATGTGATATCTAAAGAGAATCTGGGAGTGGGCCGAAACCTACTCCGCCGCCGCCAGACCCCATGTTGAAGGAGTCTACAGGGGAATGTGGTCGCACGTCTGCTGGGATGGTCAAAACTTCAGGAACGTCATTGTATACGAAACCGGCCCACCTGCCCCCCATGAAATCGTCCGAGGTGGGGGCGGATGCCGCTTCCAGCCGCTCGGCATAGGAAAGGTTATTGAAAAAATCACCACTGTCAGGGAGAGCCTTGGGCAGCGGAAAGTTGCCGCCATCGGCATTCAAGCTGTAGACAACGAGAGGGATGGGTGAGGTGTGGAGGGAGTGGAGGGGGGATGCCTGAGACGAGGAGGAGGAGGAGGAGCGAGGCGCGTTGCGCGCAGACAAGCAATTTGAAACAATGTATGCTTATGCCGCCGTGACTGGCGGGTGAGCCTTGAAAGCCTTGAAACGAACCAATGCCGGCCCAATGCCAACGCCAGTTGAGGCTGTCGCACTTGTGCGCCAAGACGCGGGTCGAGGCTAAGAAGGATTGTCCGCGATTCGACGGGGCAGGAAGGAATGAGGAAGGGCGGATGAAAGAAGGAGAGAAGAGGAATGAGGAGGTCAGCGGCTCTGCCGCAATTGCCAGCAGCAGGCTCTGGCAATCACCAGCATCGGCGCAGAACTGCTGACCACTGGCAGAACAGTCGTCCTTCGACGCGGAAGCTCTGGCAGCCTCCAGTCAGGACCTGGTCAGCCTTAGGCCTAAGGCGCGAACGAGGGTGGAGTCTATGCAGGAGGCACTGTACACCAGCCTGGCCAGGCAGGGTTATGGACGCCTGCTGCGGAGAGTGGGAGAACCAGCTTCGGTTTGGGGTCTGCCTGCTGCTGCTGCCAAATGCTGCGGCAGCGAACGGCGTCACGCAGCCAGCTGCGTGCCCCGCGTCGGATCCTCGCTACTCCCGCGCACGACTGGATGCGACCGACTCGGGAAACCTCTCGGAAGGGTGTTGCCCTACTGCCGCCGGCTTCCGACAATGGGACAACCCTCGTCTTGCTTCCGCTGGCCTCCTAGGAAACGGGTCGTGGACCCCGTGGCCTTTCCAAAACCACTTCTTCACCCCCGAATCGCTTTTGACGGTACAGGCCAAAATCTTCCATGACCAATGATCCGTTTCACTCAGAATCCCTTTCCGTCGTAGCGACTCCTTCGACCTTCTGCCGGCTTCAGCCGGTGGCGGGAGATCAGCCCTTAAGTTGCATAGTCGGGGACTGTCCCGTCGTGCCACTATCTGCGTCGAATCCACGTCGAATCTGCGTCGAATTCGCGCCGAACCCGCGACGGAGATCAGAAACGACCGCAGTGCACAGAACAGACGAAAGCCCCCCGAAGATGCAACGTGACGCTCAGCCCATCGTTTACTCGAAACCACGAGGACCTTCGTGGGGCGCTCCGCGTTTCCTCGCGGCTTTGGGACGCTCCAGCAAGCAGCTGCGGGCGGCCGCTCTCGAGCGTCGCAGCGGCCGGGCACCGTGCCTCGTCTGCCCGCCACGACAACCGAATGAGCCGCTGGCCCTCCTTACGGGGCGAAAGGAGAAAAGGCGAGGGATAGGGGAGGGAGGGAGAGGAGGTGGAGAAGGCAGGGAAAGAAAGCAAACGGAGGAATTAGATGGGGGAGGAAGCGGAGGGAAGGAAGAGTGAGGAGCTAGAGAGGGAGGAAATGGATGGGAAAGAGGCAGGGGCCAGAGAATCCGAGGCCCCGTAAAATCCACTTCCCACCCCCACAACCCCAGAACCTTCTCATCAGCACACCCGATAACCACAGTTAAGCCCTCGATATGCTCCTCCTGCTTATCTTGCTCCTCCTCCTCCTCCTCCTCCTCCTCCTCCCCTTTATGCTTCTCCATCTTCCCCTTCTCCTCCATCTTTCCCTCCTGCTGCTCCTTCTCATCTCCTCTTGCTACTGTTTCTCCTCCTCCTCCTCCTTGCTCCCCCTCCCCCTCATCCATCCACCTCTCTCCATATCCCTTTATGACGGTCCCTCCGATCCCCTCCCTCCCGCACCGCTCATGAGATTGAAGCTGGAAGCTACTGATGCTTGCAGATGTGTATATATATATATATACATATAGATATATGTATATGTATGGCAACCCATTTACAAAATGAAGCTCTCGCCTTAGAGCCGACAGCATTCGTCTTGAAAGCTTCCAAACAAATGGACAGATGGAGGGTGGCTCGCTTTCAACATGTGCTTATCGCCATAGTTCCGAGCACGTTCGTCTTAAAAGATTTCGACAGTTGCACGGCTGGAGGGCGTGTGGTTTGCACCATGTAGTCCTCGCCATGGCACCGATTACATTCGCCGGAGAAAATTACAGCGGCTAGAGCAGATGTAAGGCGGACCGATTTCAGAAATGTGGCGCTCGTCTGAACGCCGCGCACATCATTCTTGAATATTCAAAAATACACGGGTAGAGGGCAACGTCTATTCAGAATGGCCCCTCGCTTGAGACTTCCCCAGAAAGCATGCCAATAGGTAAATTCGCCACTGCGCCCCCTTGCACGTTGAGGCGTGGAAGAACCTGATCGGCCAAGAACGGGAAGCGCCGATTTTGCCCATTGGTATCGTAAGGATGAAGGTGACGACAAGGCGGCGGATGACAAGGATGACAGTCTGGGTGACGGGGCGGGCAGCCGCGGGAGCAGGAGGATAACGAGTAGGAAGACAGGCGAGAGGACAAGGAGGAACGAGTACGAGGAGGACCGTAGCAGAGGAGGAGAAGGAGGAGAAGGAAGAGAAGGAGAAGGACGACGACGACGACGTCGACGACGGCGACGACGGAGGACGGTCAGGAGCCCGAGGAACAGGACGTCGAAGACGGGGGCGTCCTCGTGACTTTTTGAATCTACCCTGCGGGTTGTTGGGGCCATCTGGGATTAGCTTGGGGCATCCTGGGGGCCTCTTGGGAGACTGTCGGGGTCCTCGAGTTCTGTAGGGGGGCTCTCTCTGGCCGTCTTGGTGCCATCTTGGGCTGTCTTAGGCCGTCTGGGGACTTTTGGGGCTCTCTCTTGGGGGGGCTCTTGGGGCCCCCTTCGGGTCCTCCGGGTGTGGGGGGGAGGGGGGGCCTCTTGGGTGCCCTTTTGGGCCACGGTGGGCCCCTCCACGCGCGAACCCAAAACGATGTTCACTCGGATTTCCAGCCTTTCTCCCCAAGATGGCCCCCAAAGCCCCCCCGGTCCCAAGAGGCCCCCAAGGGGTCTCCGAGAAGCCCACAAGAAGCCCCAGCCTCGCTAGCCAACGAGGACCAGCCCACCCTCGGTAGCTTTCCCGATCTCCATTCGACCGCCGCGCACTTGAAGGTCGCGTCCTTCAGCGCGTCCTCGTGGTTGGCCATGATCAGATAGCCGCGATGTGAACTGTCGCCCCTGCGCGCCGCCCACGCGGCGGTATCCATCGTGTACGCGAACGCCCCGTCGTCGGGATTGTTGCCTATATTGGGGAAGAGCTGGCACGCGTCACTGTTCGACATGGCGAACCCCCGCTCCTCGTGGGCCTCGACGAAGTCCTGCGCAATGGCGACCTGGCCAGGGCTGACGCCGCGCTGCAGGTGAGGCGCTGCCTGGTTGCTCGGCCGCGCACGACTGCCCATCAGTCCTCGTTGCTGTCGGCGCTCGCCCTCGGTGATAGCCAACGTGTGGTCACCCTAGCCTTCGCGGCCCCGAGGGGTTCAACTGCTCGATGTACGCCGCGCAACTCAACTGATAATCTCCACCCGGCCTTCGGCTACGCTGGTTGCCGCAAATCCATGTTCACGTCACCTGCAGATTCATCGCGCCATTCTCCGCATCTTCCAACGTCCTGAAATCGAATGCCTTCTTGAGCTCCTAAACCCTCGACGCGGGGCCCCTCTCGCCCTTCTCGTTACTGCCGCCCCCGAGCGCGTCGTACACGCGTGGCCCGATCGCCCCGTCGGACTTCTTCTCCTGGACGTGGTTGCTCAGAAGATCTAAGAAGCAGGCAGGGATCTAGCGGGTGAATCACGGGGCCGTCGATCGCGCGGTCGGTCGCCTCCTCCCACCACAGCCTCGGGGCGTCGCTCAAGCCACGCATGCTCCGCAGCAGCCTCGTCCTCGCACCCGGCGCACAACCGAGCATCCCGCGCGCCCCCGCCGGTAGACGCACGGGCGCGCCACCGGCCGATGGCTCGCCTTGCGGGGGAGCGGTGCCGGCGCTGGCTGCGAACAGGTTCCAGTCGTAGATGCGGATGAACATCGCGATGCAGGTCCGGCTCAGCGGTGTCATTGCAATGGAGGGTTTGGCCAACTCACCTGGCATGGCATCTGGGCCACGAAAACCCTGGATAGCAAGTCGCGCCTTGGCCCTGCCGCTGCCTTCCGCATTCTTGGACCACTTCAATAGGAACCGTACCCCCATGACTTCGTTGGGCCCGGACTTCCTGCCCCCAGGCCTAGTTCTTCAAAAGCTCTGCAGCTCCTTCCGTCAACTGCCGCACGCCTCTCGGCAAGCTCGCTGGCCGCGTGGCGCGCCTCGTGCTCTAAGTAAATATCCACGGCCTCGCCGTCGAAGTCCCGCCCCATCGGCGTCGCATCGGAATCCAGAAACGCCACGTCCTCCCGCTGCACCCCCAGCCGGTCGCAGGGCCACGCCCTGTGCTCACGCCGAAAAACAAACGTCCCGATGGGCCCCATCTCCGCTGCATCGAGACTGCGTCGAGCCATGCGGGACCGAGCTGCGGCGCCCATGGCTGGGCCGCTGCCTGCCGCTCGCGCGGGCGCCGGCTCTGTCGGCCCCTGCTCCAGGTTGGCGTCGTCGCCCGCAAGACTCGCAACTGCCTCTGCCGCGCTCCGACGTCGGTCGACTCGGTGACCACGGCTCGGCATGTGGCTCCGAGCTCCTGGGTGTCTGACACCCGTTGAAGCTGGTCTGCCATGGCCTGCTCGGGCGTCGGCACAGCCCCTGCCTCGCGGGCCTGGCACGATGCCTCCACGTCGTAGGCCTTGGAGTGTAGCTTGAGCACGTCGTAGGTTCTACGGTCGCTCCGCCTGGTCGATGGTCTCCGCGCTAGGTCGAATCTGGTCGGGGTTGCATCGCAGCAAGCCCCCGCCAAGCGTGACCCGCTGCGACTCGGGCCGGCCATTCTCGCGTATACCCTCGGCAGCTGGGCCCCAGCGGGACTTCTGGAGCCGGCGGGCGCCGCGGTCGCGCCAGTCGCGGCGCGGCCCACCCGCGCTGACCGAGTCGCGAGCGTCGCGCCTCTTGCGCAGGAAAGCCCTGCGCAAGCGCCCCGTCGAATCCGCCTCGCTCGGCGTCGCATTGATTGCTGGACCCCCCCCTCGAGGCAGGCGCCCGAAGCGGGCGCGCGCAACGCGTCGGCGGAGAGGGGGTCGTCAAGCTCAGAGCTATGTAGCCCACGACCCACTGTGCCGGGCTGTAGCCCTGGCGGTGCATCGCCCGGTCGATCTGGTTGGGCACGCCAATCCAGCGCCCTCAGATTCTTGACGTCGGGCACAAGGGCGGTCTCCTCGAACCAGGCCTCAAGAACCACTCGGTGCACCTGGCGCGCTCGCTCGAGGTGTCCAAGCGCGCGGTGGGCCTCTCCAGGCACCGCTCGCATCTCGCCGCTGCGCTGGCTGGCCCAGCAGAGCATCTCCTGGCCGCGCGCAGCCCGCGCCCATCCACGACGGTCGTCTTGGGCGCGAAATAGCGTCTGACCCGGCCCGGGCCTTCTCGATGGATTTGATCGCCTCGCCGGTCGCCTCGCGAGCCGCGATTCGGCCCATCGCGCGCGCGACCTTGACCGACGCTGCTCGCAGCATGAACTGTTGAACTGGAAGAAACCAACCAGAGGGCCCGGTCACAAGACTTCCAGCTCGTCGGCGCCGCGCTGAGTGGCCGCGACGCCTCGCGGCGCCCAACGCAGACCGAGCGCGCGCTGGGCCCGGCATGCTGGATGACCTCCT